CTGCCATTGGAGGTGGTTCAAGCACCTACATTGAACACCTTCAAGAGCAAATTGGATGCTTATCTTGCTGGGATCCTATGACCCCAGCTGACTTCCTGCCCTTTGGGCGGGGGGCTGGACTCGATGATCTTCCGAGGTCCCTTCCAGACCTAATGTCTATGAAATCTATGAAATCATATGCAAAATCTTATTTACTCTGTACAATGTATGTGCATAGCTTCACAAATCAGTGTTTAAAGTTTGTCTTAAAACTTAAGTTTTAAGTTCAAGGCAGCTACATAGCACTATACAACTACACTATGGTTGAGGTAGAAACCATTTCTTCAATTACTTCTTTGGACCTCTGGGCATATCTAGTATTTCCTTACCTTTGTAGTATTTGTCTAAAAATGTCCATTTTCAAGGCAGGCAAAAAAAAAAAAACAAAACTGTAGACGTTAGGTGCACCGATGCATCGGTTCAATATCAGATCAGTACCACTTCACAAAAAAATTGACTATATCAGAAACTGGCTTTTTTTGCCTGATGCGGCCAATAATGTGGCCCAGAAATGCCCTGTGTATGTGCACAGCCCGGCAGCTTGGACAGCTGCATCCAACTGGTAAGTCTGTTGTTGTGGAAAGGCAGGGGGAAAAGAAGAGGCGTGAGGCATGGGGGGATGACAGATCAAGGCCCCTGTGGTGAGGGAGGGAGTGGGGGTGGAGCTAGAGCAGGCACTGCCCAGCTGGGACATGGCACGAGACGGAGTCATGGCTCATCTGGGCGCACGGTGGGGGGGGGGTAGCTCCCGCCGCTGCACACACTCCAGGAGGGCATGGGGGGGGGCACACACCCCCCAGATCTGCATGGGGCGGGGTGGCTGCTGCTGTGGGCTGAGGCCGGCGCCAGGGGCTGGGCTGGGCTGCGCTAGGGGTGGGCAGCGATGGTGCTGAGAAGGGGGTTGGGAGGGCTACGGTGAATTTTGATGTGGCTCCTGCCCCCACGCCCCTGTAGCCCTGCTCCCAGCACCACCGCTGCCCGCCCTGAGCACAGCGCGGCCCATCCCCAACCAGGAAGAGGTTGGTGCTGGCCCCAGCCTGCAGTGGCAGCCATCTCACTCTGCACACACCTGAGGAGCATGCAACCCCCCCATGCCCTCCTGGGGTATGCCCAGTAATGGGAGCCGCCCCCACCCCCTTCCCGCACCCCCCAGACAAGCTGCAGCTCTGTTCCACACCCCATCCAGCCCTAGCTGGGCAACGCCTGCCCCAGCCCCTGCCACATTCCCTCCCTCATTGCAGAGGCCTCAAACTGCACCCCCCAAACCCTCTCTCTTCCTCCACAACAGACTTACCAGCTGGACACTGCTCTTCAAGCCACCAGGCTGCGTATCAGAAATCAGATCAGTATCAGCTGATATGCCTCCTTAAACATCGGCTGTTGATATCAGCCCAAGAAACCTCTGTTGGTTCACCCCTAGATGTTAGAAAATTAAGTTCCAGATTAACAGATAAAATTCCGTAAACCTTTTCAAATACAGCATTACAACAATTAGAGACAGATATTGGTGGTTAGTATCTCAAAATTTAAAGTAGCATGTAGTCCACTCTAAATTACACTGTATAATATTTAAGATTTAAACATTTCAAATGTTAATATGGGATGTTCAAAATGGTTAACAGATCCAGACAACATGCTGATTTTAACAGACTAAGGAAACACACATTTAAAAAAGTAAAAATACTACTTTCAATGATGAACAATTTTTTTAACATTTATTTTATTTTATTCTTTCTAGAGTCTCCCTCAAAGGTGGATACATACTACAACGAGGTGGTGCTGCTGATTTAGTACTTACACAGAAGGCCTTCCACAAATTCCCCAAGTTTCAACAAGGGTGTTAGGTTGAGAGGAAAGTAGCTTGTATTCCATAAGCCAGAATCCCAGCAGAAAAAAACAGTTGAGATGGAAAGAAAATTGAGCTTACTCTGTATGTCTTTATCACAGAAACCAGAAGCTGACTTAATGAGCAACAGTCCTGGAAAACTGGAAACAGGCGGTCCCTTCATTTATACCGTAGCCAAGGATACTAAGATAGTGAATATCACTTGTCAAATAGACAAAGATAATTGGGAAGGCTGAGTTAGGAGCTGGAAGAAACACAAAGTTCCTCCTGAGCCTGGTTAGGCATGGTTAAGGTAGGCCTGTTTCTGCAGACAGCAGCACCCAAGGGAATGAGATAGCTTACATCACATCCAGCCAATTTTGGTTCCTCAGCCCTCATGATCATTCATCCATTAACAGAGAGAGGTAGTTAGCCACGTTAGTCTGAAGTCAAGCAGAAAAAGCAGGGTAGTTCATCTGCAAAGTGTAAATCTAAGTCAGAGCTCTACAGCAGGAGCTTTTGTTAGCCCAAGCTCACTTCATCAGACGCTGTGAAAAAGCATCTGATGAAGCGAGCTTGTTCTCACAAAATTGTATGCTAAACAGCTGTGATTCGGTTAGTCTTAAGGTGCAAATATACCATTTATACATTTATATGCAGGTCAACTGGGAGAAGCCCAGTACAAATTGGGGTGGGAGACTCAAACTCACTCCTTAACTGCTCTGCTAACTGTGTCCCTTCAGGAGCTGGAAAGCAAATTATTTACTACTCAACACTTTGTGAATAACACTATTCATGAGAACCTGGGGCAAAAATTACTTACATGACGGAATAATGAACTGCGGTTCTGTATTTCCTGCATAGCCAAGTTTTGTATACCTAAAAAAAAAGTTATCAATAGGTCTTTAGATGCATCAAGAAAAATCTACTTTATTCACAAAGTTGGCAACATAAAGTATAGCAACAGTAATCACACTTCTGTCAGCACAAAGGCCAAACTAGTATATGAAACAACTAAATTCTGAGCTACATTTTAAGTGCAGTTTTGTTCTGAAGAGAGACGTAGTCCGGTTCCATATTGACATCTCAATGACTTGTGTATCAAGCATCTCTGTTTACAAGCAGTTTTTTTCCTTCCAACCCTGCAAATTCAACTCACAAAATTATTTTGTCCTCAGTAATATCTGCTCAATCCTATTATTTTTGAGTGGGCTGGCATACCTACACAGAAACGTCATCTGAGGGGAAATTTACATTGTCTAACGGGAGCACGAGAGAGCACAGGGAGGAAGTATTTATTGTTCTAACCCTGGTGGCAGCACAGATCTCCTCTGCGGCCTTGCACAAGTCACTCTACCTGAATTTACCGCATCTATAAAATAGTGATATTCACTTATCTCATGAGTGAATGCTTGCTAATAAATTGTAATGACGATTGCCCGTGGAAATTATAAAATCACAGAATCAGAGAAGTGGGGCTGAAAGGAACCTCCACCCATCATCTAGTCCAACCCCCTGCCTGAGGCAGGATCACCCCTCTCCAAACAATCCCATACAAACCCATCATCTAAACTCTTTGTAAAACTACCATCTGCCCTAACACACAACATAACAACCTAACCTGCCACAGGTAAAGCAGGGGAACTGTAACAGCCAATGTCCTGGTTCTGTAAAAGGTTATTAATATGTGGCTCAAGAGATCCCATGTAGAGGGCCATACCCCAGTGACAGAGAAAGGCAAAAATGCCCCATGGTCCACACCAATCTGACTATAGGGGAAAAATTCCTTCCTAACCCCAAATTTGGCATTTAGTCTGACCTTTGGCTTTGATCCCTGTAGGAGCATTTGCACACCCCAATCAAAATCCCCAGCCTTGGCTACAGTCAACACCCAATGGCCCTGAGGAAGGCTTAAAAACCCCCTGACAAATTACTGCAAATCAAACAATTCCACATATGTAGCTTCAAGAGAAATGGAATGGGTGGTTCGGGATGAAAGATAACACCAAAAATAATTTGTATCTTCTGCAGTGGTTGGTCAGTGGTTGCAGTCTAGCTCAGAAATAAATCAGATCCAAGACTATGACAAATTATTCTAATTCTTAGTGGACAGGCAACTACTTTGACTGAACTCCAGTCATGACTGGAATCCTTTTTAGTAGTTCCAGCAAAGTTTGATTAGGGCACTCACCGGCCAATGAACAGATACATATTTAAGCCATTTTATCTTCCTCCTGGATTGCAATCTATTGGTTAATAATGAAATATTGTAATTGCAAGTTATGAGCTATCATGCAGAAATACAAAATTCTTCCTTAATTTATTAAAAGAACAAGATTTTCTAGGCAGCTAGACCAGAATACTCACAAGTAGGAAAAGAAAAGAGAGACCAAACCAAAGAAAACTGGTCCTGGGGCCAGTTTTGTTCAACATCTTCATCAACAATCTGGAAGATGGGACGGAGCACACCTTTAGCAAGTTTGCTGATGATACCAAACTGAGGAGAGTAGTAGATATGCTGGAGGGTAGGGTTAGGATTCAGTGACAAATTGGAGGATTGGACCAGAAGAAATCTCATGAGGCTCAGCAAGCACAAGTGCAAAGTCCTGCAATCCCACGCACCAGTACAGGCTTGGGACCAACTGGCTAATCAGCAGCTCTGCAGAAAAGGTCCTGGGGGTTACAGTGGACAATAAACTGGGTATGAGTCAACAGTGTGTCCTTGTTGCCCTAAAAGGCAAACAGCATACTTAGCTCCATTAGTAGGAGTGTTGCCAGCAAATCAAGGAAGTGATTATTCCCCTCTATTCTGCACTGGTGAGGCAACATCTGGAGTACTGTGTCCAGTTTTGGGTCCCCCAACTATAAAAGGTTGTGTACAATTTGGAGAGAGTCCAGCAGAGGGCAACAAAAATGGTTAGGGGCTGGGGCACGTAACTTATGGGGAAAGACTGAGGGAGCTGGGCTTATTTAGTCTAGAGAAGTGAAGACAGGGTGATATAATAGCAGTGTTCAACTATCTGAAGTGGGGTTCAAATGAAGATGGAGGTGGACTGTTCTTAGTGAAGCCAGCCTGCACAAGCTGCCACCTGGTTGCACAGCCCCTGAGCTGCTGGGGGGCCCAGTGCTTCCCTCTGCAGCAGCAGTGCCCCGCAGGGGTGCCCAGGCAGGGTGCTAGCTGGTTGGGTGCTGCCCCAGCTCACAGGCAGGCAGCACCCAGCCCAATCCAACAGTGAATGGGGTGCTGGAAGCCCGGACATGGTTGGGGAAGCTTGAGCTTGGCAGGCTTCCAGGGCCCTGTGTACCAGCCCCGCTGCCTTCTCCACCTGCCTGGGACCACCGGGGAATGAGCTGGCTTGCCCGTGGGGCAGTATGGGAAGGCAGTACAAGGGCAGCTGCATGTGCTGGTGGACAAAGAAGGCGGCGGGGACAGTACATGGGGCACTGGAAACCTGCCGAGCCCGAGTTTCCATGAGCCCATCTGGGCTTCCAGCTCCCCATGCACTTCTCTGGGAGCCAGATATGATGTACACATGCATGATTTTTTTTTTTTTTTTTATCTACAAATGGACAATTTCTAAAATACATCGGAGATGGTCTAAGTTGCCACGCTCAAATGAATTCTTACATGAAAAAATCATGCACATGTACACAGTGACACCATTATGTTAGACAAATGATTTGTCATCACTTTTTGTCACATGTACATGGTCCCACCATCATGTATACAAGAGACCCTAGGGGCCATGCTCTTCTTGACCTGCTGTTCACAAATAGGGAAGAACTGATGGGGGATGTAGAAGATTCTGGCAAGCTGGGCAGCAGTGACCACGAGATGACTGAGTTCAGGATCCTGACAAAATGAAGAAAGTAGAGCTGCAGACTATGGACCCTGGATGAATGATCTGTAAGGTGGGCCCTGGACTTCAAAAAAGTAGATGGTGACTCCCTCAGGGAACCGATGGACAGGATCTCCTGGGAGGCCAGTCTGAGGGGGAAAGGAGTCCAGGAGAGCTGGTTGTATTCTAAAAGAAACCTTATTGATGAGGGTGCAGGAACAATCCATCCCAATGTGCAGAAAGAATAGCAAATACAGCATATGACCACCTTGGCTTAGCAGAGAACTCTTTGGTGAGCTTAGACACAAAAAGGATGCTTACAAGTGGGCTAGTCAGCCTCACCTTGGTACCCAGAAAACTCATGAAGCAGGTCCTCTAGGAATCCATTCCTAAGTGCCTGAAGGAGAACAAAGTGATCAGGAGCAGTCAGCATGGATTCACCAAGGGCAAGTCGTGCCTGACCAACTTGACTGCCTTCTATGATGAGATGACTGGCTCTTGGGATGCGGAAAAAACAGTGGATGTGATATACGTTGACTTTAGCAAGACTTTTGATACAGTCACCCACCACATTATTGCAAGCAAGCTAAGGACATACAGGTTGGATAAATGGGCTGTAAGGTGGACAGAAAGCTGGCTGGATCATCAGGTATAATGGGTAGTAATAAATGGCTTGAGGTCTAGTTGGCAGCCAGTATCAAGTGGAGCACCCCAGAGGTCGGTCCTGGGACTGGTTTTGTTCAATACCTTCATCAACAATCTGGAAGACGGAATGGAGTGCATCATAAGCAAGCATGAGGGTGACACCAAGCTGGGGAAAATAGTAGATATGCTGAAGGGTATTATTCTATGAAATGCAAGAAACATGAAGAGTAATCAGGGATAACTAAGTCCTAGCACACACAAAATTATGATCAAATTCAGATAAGCAAAACTTGGTGGCACAGTTCATGTAAGTGGAACACTGCTGTGGATCGCTACAGTTTATTCAGGACGGACAGAGAAGATATGGAAGAGGTGTTGCTTTAAAGACAAATATACTTGTTCTGAGAACCAAAACAAACCTTTTAAAAGTTTCTAGGGTAAGGGAAAACAGCAAGGACAGTGTTACAGTTAGTGGCTACTACAGAGCACCAAACCATGAGGAGGAAATGGAAGAGGCTTTATAAATGCAACTTAACATCCAAATTAGAGGACCTGCTGCTTAATGGGAGTCTTCACTACCATGATAGATTCTTGAAATGTTGGACTGCCTGCACTGCTGTTACAAGTTCCTGAACTGTGCTGGGGATAACTCCTTGGTACAGTGGGCAGAGAAAACCTAGCAGAGAAACATTTTTTCGTTTGTTGCTTACAAATAGGGAAGAATAGGTTAAGAATCTTAAAATAAGAGTTCATAATCCTAAGGAGAGGTAGAAAGGAAAACAGCAGAACAGAAATCCTGAACCTCAGAAAAGCAGCTCTAAACTCAGAAAATTGGTCTCTGGCAAAAAAAAGAAGTCCTGCTACCTGGGAGTTTGTTGTTTCCCTGAGAGGCAATATTAAGGGAATAAAAGCATCCTATCCTATTGAGGAGGCAAGATAGGAAACACAGCAAGTGATCTGCTCGGCTAAACTGTAAGCTCTTCAGAGCCTTGCAACTTTAAAAGGAATCTTACAAAAAACAGAAACTTGGCCACATCACTAAGGATGAGTTTAAGAATTTAATTCAAGCACAGAAAGACAAAAATCAGGAAAGCCAAGGCACAAACTAAGATACAACTAGCAAGAAACAAAGGATAACAGAAAGGTATTCAATTAACCCTTTAA